AGTCTTGACCAAGTGCAATGTGATCTGCCCTTGTCCACTGAAGGACGAGTAAGTCTTGACCAAGTGCAATGAGATCTGGTCATTGTCCACTGTAGGACGAGCAAGTCTTGACCAAGTGCCATGTGATCTGCCCTTGTCCACTGTAGGATGAGTAAGCCTTGACCAAGTGCAATGTGATCTGCCCTTTTCCACTGTAGGACGAGTATGTCTTGACCAAGTGCAATGAGATCTGGTCATTGTTCTCTGTAGGACCAGTATGTCTTGACCAATTCACTCCCATCAGTCTAATCTTAGTGTAACCACCCTTATTCAGTTCATCCCACAATCAGTCCAATCTTAGTGTGACCCCCCTTATTCAGTTCACCCCACAATCAGTCCACTCTTAGTGTGACCACCCTTTTTCAGATCACTTTACTATCAGTCTAATCTTAGTGTGACCACCCTTATTCAGTTCACCCCACTATCAGTCCAATCTTAGTGTGACCACCCTTATTCAATTCACCCCACTATCAGTCTAATCTTAGTGTGACCACCCTTATTACCCCACCACCAGTCCAATCTTAGTGTGACCCCCCTTATTCAGATCACCCCACTATCAGTCCAATCTTAGTGTGACCACCCTTATTCAGATCACCCCACAATCAGTCCAATCTTAGTGTGACTACTCATACAGTTCACCCCACAATCAGTCCAATCTTAGTGTGACCACCCTTATTCAGATCACACCACTTTTAGTCCAATCTTACTTTAACGACCCTTATTCAGTTCACCTAGACCCCACCACACACACACACACACTAACACACTAACACACACACACACACACCACTATTAGTCCAATCTTAGTGTGACCACCCTTATTCAGATCACACCACAATCAGTCCAATCTTAGTTTAACCACCCTTATTCAGTTCACCTAGACCCCACCACATACACACAGACACACACACACACACACACACACACCACACATCACACACATACACATACACACACACACACACACACACACACCACATACACACACACACCACACACACCACACATACACACACACTACACACATACACCACACACACACATACACACACGCACAAACACGCACGCACGCACACGCACACACACACACACACACGCACGCGCACGCACACGCACACGCACATGCACACACACATACACTATACTGATAATATACACACTTCCTTCCAGTGCTGAACTGACTCCTCCTCCTTTTTTTCATTTCTATATCTATGCCACAGACTAATTTTCATGAGATCAGCTTTCATAATCCCTGCACCCTCCACCTTCAAGCTATGCAGATCAAGCTTGTAGTTTGGATGATGACTCACAGATTTCAGATGAAACTTGTAAGTAGCTGTCAGCTTACATCCATCACATGTGCCTGAAGGCCCTTTACACCGACATCATTCATCGTGGGCAGCGAATAGATCACAGTAATAATGACACTAGTTTTGAGGGCTGTATATCCCAAATATTGTCACCAGGCAACTACTTGGAAACCTAGTAACTTTGACTACATTATGAATGCAGTTTGGAGATCTAGCCTTGCCCTGCTTACTTGTATGTGTCATTCACAAATAATTAGAGTGAGTGAGTGAGGTTTTACACCACTTTTAGCAATATTCCAGCGATATCACGGCAGGGACACCAGAAATGAGTTTCACACATTGTACCCATGTTGGGAATCGAACCCTGGTCTTCGGCATGACGAGCCAATGCTTTAACCACTAGACTACCCTACCGCCCCTACAAATAATGGGAATGAGGTTACCGCGCTAATCTTTAGGTACATATTTTGTTACCACTAAAGAAGACAACTCTGAGTGGGGTATTCATGTTAAACTGCGGCATGGTATCTCAGTGTTCTAGCACTATAAATTGGCATCAGTCCGGACAAGTGTAAGCAGCCACACACACACACACACATATACACGTGCATGCATGTCGCTATATGAGTGCAATAATCTTGGACGCGACGTTAAACCCCATTTCACCTCACCTCACCTTGAAAAACCCACACAAATCGGTGTTGGCCGGTCTGTACAGATATCATGATGTCATAGTGTTTCATATGACGTCATCTGAGGCGTGTTGAGGAGGGTGGGCAATTGCGATATCACGTGTGTGGGCTGTTGAACACTGCTGACCCCACAATCGCACGCGTTTACTCCATGGTCAAGCCCGCGAGGTAATTCACCTAGTAATCCAAGATGGTGCTACACATTGTGCAAATGTTTGCCGTTGACCGTAATTGAACCAATGTCTAAAGAATAATCTTTTAGACTAGATATACCTTTCAAAGGCTTCATTAGAACTTAATATACTGACCCATTAAGATCTGGTAGAGCATAGGTCTTCAGCAACCCATGTTTGCTGTAAAAGGCAACTATGCTAGTCCTAAGAGGCCACTAATGTGACCGGATGGTCAAGCTTGTTGACATGGTAAATGCATGCCATCGTGTCCCAATTCTGTCTATCGATGCTCATAATATCAATCACTGGGTTGTCTGGTCCTGCTTCAGTTACTTACAGACCTCCATCATAAAGCTGGAATATTGCTGAGTTCAGTGTTAATCAACAAATAAACAAACAAACAAATATTTTCAATATAAAAAATAAACACTTTGTGATCTTGAACATCAAAATCTGAACCCATCACATTGTGATGAAATTAAATGTGTGAACCTATTACACTTGTGGATAGGGCTGTTTCTATCCCCGGAGACACCATTTTGAGATTGAGTATGCACCTTCCGTTCAAGAAGGAGTCATATTGCCTCACTATATGCTTGAGCAGAGAGTGGGTACCCAGTAGGATGAGATGGTAATGTGTCTGTTAATCTTCTAGCGCCTCACAGGCAGCTTGGGTTGTATACTCCCCAGGGAGCTGAGAATGAAAATCGAGTGCTCACTGATCCATTGACCGGGGTAATAATAGTGTAGCGCTATGAGCATTCACTTGGTGAATGGAATCTGGTGCATTATACATGCAATTGTTATTATTATTATTATTATTATTATTATTTTCTGATCCCCAGCCCTCCTGAACGTGCCTTATGATACCCTGTTTATATATTGATTGAGTTACCATACCGAACACACTGGCAGTCGGAAGGCAGACCTGATATTGTCAAATATTGGCTTATGACAAGTGTAAGTTATAGTACATCTGCAATGAAGTCCATGTTGTGACAAATGTCCACAACAGTTTTGACATGGCATTAGAAATGTAGATGAAATGAGCGGCACCGTGGAGACACTGACCTATCTCACAGAGACCTTGAATACAAGTTATGCTGACACTAAGAACCACTTAATTAGCCGATTTATCACCAAGGATAACTCTTATTGGTCAATCAGAGGTATCCAATGACAATAACCACCTCTGATTGAAACAATGATATAACAGCCCGATCACACGATAGCTAATATTTATAGAATAGTACTTCTTTCTAAGTCAGTGTCGGTGGGCAATTTTAAATGATTATTTGTAAAATTATTAATAACAAAGTTCTTATTTCTTATGATTTTGGTAACTGTTTAGAATTGGCAAACCCATGAGGTAAGAGGTGACAAAACGGATCGGGTGGTCAGGCCTGCTAACAATGTTGATGCATGTCGTTTCACTAAAATTGCTTAAATTGATGCAATTGATGCTCATGATGTCACTCACTGAATTATGTGATGTGGCAAACAAACAAACATGACTGCTATAATACGTCTAAAATACCTCCAACATAATTTAGAGTGCAGATCCAGGGTAGAATAGGTCTCCAGCAACCCATGCTTGCCATAAAAGATGACTGTTTGTTGTAAGAGGCGACTAACAGGATCGGGTGGTCAGGCTCGCTGACTTGGTTGATGCATGTCATTGATCCCAATTGCGTGGATCGATGCTCATGATATCAGTCACTGGATTGTCTGGTCCAGTCTCGATTATTTACAGACTGCCGTCATATAGCTGGAATATTGCTGAGAGCGGCGTGAAACAAACAAACCAAACCCGCTTTCTGCCTGATATTTCTGGATGATCAGCTAATCATCTTCAGTTAAAAAAACAGAATTCTGTTTTGATAAAATCCTTTCACCTATATACACAAAGAGGATAAACATGTTTGCGTTGATAATAAAGCTAATTTCTGTAATACTAAAACATACCAGAAATCTATAGTTTTACAATCTAATTTTTGATCGAACATAAATGTACTTTGTGAGGCGTTTTACTTTCCAAATATTGGCATGAAATTCCACAACTCAAAAGTTATTGCTTGCAATGGACGTAATGCCGTAAAGATTACATATATATTTCAAACTATAATTCTCTCGGTGTTGTAAAACGACATCAGTGGAAGTAAAGCAGCGATCTATTTCCATTCTCCATGTCAGTATAAAGCTTGTTGAGTAGATGGTTCCATATTGGAGCTGTGCAATGTGATTTTCAGCAGCATTAAATACCATATTTTACATTGGAAAAGCAAACAATCTTTCAATCTTTCCATCGAACTATTTCATGGCTTAACCAATATCAGTAGGGGTGTTGGAGATATTTTAGAATCTGATTAAAAGAAAATAACCTTTGTCGCGACAAGTAGAGTGATCAATGGCAATGAAGGTTTATATGTTTAGCTTGCTGTAATATTAGATTAGCACATGTGGCTTTATGCTGTGTGCTTCTATTCAATTTCTTCACGTTTTCCATTCCAGAAAAAGTGGAAACAGTTGCTGCACATGAAGTGAGAGTTGGTGTGAATGAAAAAATACCCCATGGGAGAATAATTTTTGGTTCAAGGGGTTAGGAAGTCACTAAATATGTGAAAAAGCAAATATGCTTCACATCAGCACTGCTCAAACAGACTGTCTGCGACGGCAAACTTTCTCGTGATGCCTGCTCGATAACGAATATCATTTCCTTGATGGTGGTGTGTTAAGAACCGATGCAACTATCATTTTACTCCGAGGGTTTCTGCGGACTTGCCAATCGGGAACGGATCAATACACTGACTATGGTCAATGTACCAACGTCTGTCCATGAACCTCATAACAAAGACCAGACCACTGCCTGTCGTGGAGTTCCTCACGACACAGCCAACCGTCTTGTCCATCAGTGTTGGATCAACCTACCACTGTATTAACCGTGTCGCAATTTCTCATCAGTTGGTCTGAATGAACGTTCAGTTCTTGTTGCCACTGCCTTGAGGTTGGGGGAGAGTTTTAGATTTGAGCTTGTATTTGCATCATACGTCTTCGTTAGTTGCATCTGTGTGTCTGAAGCAAAAGCCTTGTGGACGTAATGTGTCCAGGATTGCCGATCACATGACTGTGTACCTCGCGAGGACAGGGAGCTTATCCAGCGTGTTGGGATTACCACAGTCGTGCAGACAATCTCTAGTCTTTATGAGGTAAGTCACTTTCTTCACTCTCTCTTCTTCCTTGTACTTTCCTAATGCCGAGTCAATATTTTTGTGATTATTTGTCACAAACTGACTTCATTTCAGGTGTATTGCTGTATTTCTTGATGGATGAACTGATATATTTGTTTTTGATTTTCTGAAGTGGATATTTATGACGGAATCATAACGTTGCTCGTTGTCTGAGGCAAGTACTCTACAGCCATTACATTATTGTCACAGGTTGCTGTTGGTATTGTACGATTGTACGTCAGTTGAGAGTTGTTGGCGATGCACGTCTTGAATATAACTACTCTTCCTTTGATTTGACTACCGGTAAATTGTGCAGCCAGGATTATCAACATTCTTCATTTGGGTTGAGACTATAGGATTGTTTATTTGTTGGTCTACATTTTATTAATTTTCAGTTAGGTATTTGTAAAGCAAAACCATAGAAGTCTTAATTTCTAAGGATCTATTAGGTAACTGATGGATTGTAACTCAATTGTAATTTTCAAATTACATTTTTTGGTACTGTTATCATACTGTTTGAATGAACAGTATTAAAGAGACTCTCATCACACTTTTGACAGTATTGCTTCATTTCACTTCTGCCAAATGCTGAAACCATCCAGTCATCAATGAAATCAATTCAAACAGTTCTAGAAACTTTTATGGTGCATTGAATGAGTTCTGAATTTGTTGACAGTCTTTCATACATGCAAGTATCATGTTTTTTTGTACCCAAAAGAAACAGGTGTGATCCATCCAGGATTTGTGTTCCACATATTTTTTGTAAATTTGTTAGTAACATGGACAACAGGCTTCTAAACACTTCAGCCCCGATAATCCAGACAGCATCCAGTAAAATATGTCAGATTAAATTTTTGGGGATTATTGCATCATCAGTATGGAGTAATGTCCCTTTGTATGACTTCTTCGATGTCCCATACAGTATTCGCCTCAATGGCAAGGTGTCCACATTAACAGGGTCGAGGTTAAGAGAGTTTCGTTTTGTGTTTCTTGTTTTTGCTATATGTTAATTATATCGCCTAGACAAGAGATAAACTGTGTGTAACATGATACTTGACCACAGATCCCTGCAGTGTCTTCTGCTAATGTCAGTGCAAGAGGCAATACACCAGCGAGTTCTCTTAAAGGGGCAGTAAGCACGCCAGTTGTCTGTCTCTCCAGTGAAACATGCAGTGTAGGCATGTTAGCTGTCTTACAGATGTCGGTGATGAAGAAATATCTGAATAATGATGAGGAATATTTCAATGATGATTATAATTTCTAATGATAATTGTAGGGATAATTTTGTGTTTTATACCCTGCTGTAAAAGTGTGATATGATGATGGTTTGTGTATGATGTTTATATACCAGTGGTGGTAATATATATCATGATGATGGTGTGATGATGATGATGATGATGATGATGAAGTGATGATGTTGTTGATGATGATGTTGCTCAAATGATGATGATGATGATGATGATGATGAAGTGATGATGATGTTGTTGTTGATGATGATGATGATGATGATGATGTCCCGTCAGTGCTTTGAGCCTGACAAATTTTGGTTCATCAAGACAGAGATATAAACAGTCAAATATGGCCTTTTTTACCATAGCGGCCATAGTTATTTTTTAGGGTTTTTTTCAACTCCAGTCAGTAATATTCCAGTACATGATGTCATGCTGCCTGTAAGTCATCAGATCAACCAGTGGTTGATAGCATGAATGTGACATGAGGGTCAGTGATAAACAGTCATCCAGGTCAAACACCGGCCATGCTCCTCATTGTGTCAGCCCTTACAACAAGCATTTGGTATGGGGACCGATTCTGTCAGAACTCCCCACAGGGATGTCTATAACCACGTCTATTGACTTTTAACATAATACAGCGGTGCTCTGAGTTTCTTCTTGATCCCTGATGCATTGATATTGGCTTGTATGTTCCTTTGAACTATGTAAATAGCCATGTATCTGTGATCGATTTAAATTATTTTCTTTACCTTTTCCCAGATCACCAAATATAAATTTGTCTTTACTTTCTACTCATGATTTTAAATTGCGTATAATCTGGACAGATATATTTTGAAACATTCTATGTTATATTTCATATAATGGTACTAGTTATTTTGTTTGATGATATCATTTGTGTTATATCTGAGAAAAAGGAAGTGAATTTGATAAGGTTATGAGGCTTGATTACAGTTGATCAATCATTTGGGAATATATGTTTGATAATGCCTTCTGAAAAAACAACTGTAATGATTCTAATTACATTGTCTTTCTAACTTTTGTGTGCAATTTATTTCATATGTCAATGGCATTAGCAGTCTTTGCCTTGTTTTGAAGTATACATTCACAAAATCATTTTCTTTCTTTGGCTGGATCATATGCAAATGCAGAAGGGGGATGCAGAGGTGTCCAACACACCCATATTTTCAACCCCCACCCGCACCCCCACCCCCACCCCCACTTCTATCTCTACCTTCAACCTTCAATGTGTGAAGCCCATTTCTGGTGTCCCGATGGAATATTGCTAAAAGCAGCGTAAAACCAAACTCACTGACTCACTCATGTGGGACACCAGAAATAGGCTTCACACGTTGTATCAATGTGTTGGGTATCAAAACCTGACTTTTGGCGTAACAAGCGAACGCTTTAACAACTAGACTCCCCTACCCTCCCCACACAGCCCCACACACACACACACACACACACACACACACACACACACACACACACACACACACACACACACACACACACACACACACACACACACACACACACACACACACGCCACTCACACCACCCACACCACCACCCCACACGCCACCCATGCCACCCCCCCCCCCACACACACACACACGCCACACACACACACACCACCCACACCCACCTCCCCACCACTCCCCAACGGGGGAGACTAGATGAAAATGTAATACAACACTTTATGTAACTAACTCATTCATTGATATTTTCAACACAAATAACATTTAACTATCCATGCAAATTGCTTCGTGAATTATCTGCACTCATCTGGCAATTGTATAGTAACTTGTCATTATGAAACCAGCTGTGTCCTGATTATTCCGACTTAACTACATCCATGGATGTGTGTGCTGTTTGTGCTTTTCAATAATTGTTTTCACCAAACACCATCATAAATTTATAGAACTTGTATAATAAAAGACATTGCTCGCTATGATTTAAATTTATTTTCAGCACGCTTATCTCTTAAAAGCAAGGAGAGAAAAAGCTGTGTCCTTTCCATTTTGATTAGTAGCGAGAGGTCTCTTGTTTCACTTGAATGCAAAAACCAACCGGTATTAATGACATACACTCCTCTCGCTGACAAACCAAAACTTGTAGTAGCATTACAATAGGTGTCTGAGTCTTTGGGCATGAAATGCTTATCTGATCAGGTAGTCACTACTGAAAAGATTTTCCTTTTCACTCCTCGCAATGACTAAATTATTGATTATGAGGTGTGACAAACTGACTGTTTTTATTACAGAAAATTGAGATGAGATAGGTTAATAATCAAATTGTTTTATTTGTCTTAAAGAATCAAAGGATAGTAATCTGTCTGATTGTGGAGGCAGTGTTCAAACATTTTTAATGCTTTTGTACTGTGGAAGTATTGGAATTGTCCACACAGAAAGGCTGGATATGACAGTGTCCGTTATGGCAAGGTTGTTGTTTTAATGATGCTATGTATGGGACCCAAGTTGATGACATCTGTCCGTTACATGTCAATATACATCAACTGGTCATTGACCATCTATTCCTTGAGGCATCTTGCTACCAAATATGGATCCTAAAATTGCTGCCATTTCGTTCCACCATCATCTCCATGTTTGAAGGTAATGGGGCATTTCGTGTAATGATGGGGCCTAGGTGCCACAGTTTCTAGCCATCCAGGAAGTTGTGTCACGCAGGTAGTGGTGTATGGATCTGAACTTATTTCAGTCTTTTCATGTTTGGTTCATTGGAGATTTATCCTTTGACTGAAGCTGTGAGGTCTCAACTGGAGAAAACCTTATGTTGTAGCAGACATTTGAATCTTGGATCAACTCTTTGCAAGCATTTATCTTGGCATTCTCAATTGTCTATATTTATTGCCAGGTCTGTTGCATATTTCAATAAAACCCAAATGGAATGAGGAAGGTCCAAATTTGAGGTTATTATAATTACTTCTAATGTATAGCAATGCACAGGTGGAGCATTATGTTTTTGTGTCCAGCACAGATCTACCTCGACCTGTGAAGATCCGGGGTAGAATAGGTCTTCAGCAACCCATGCTTGCTGTTAAAGGTGACTATGCTTGTCGTAAGAGGCAACTAATGGGATCGGGTGGTCAGGCTCGCTGACTTGGTTGATGCATGTCATCGTTACCCAGTGCGTGGATCGATGTTTATGATGTCAATCACTGGATTGTCTGGTTCAGACTTGATTTTTTTTACAGACTGCCATCATATAGCTGGAATATTGCTGAGTGCAGCGTTAAACAACAAACCAACCAAACTATCTCCAAATTGAAGAAAATAAGGATGTTAAAAATTTCAATCTGGAACAAAATAATCTCAACTTGCACGACACAGGCACTTAGTTTAATTTCTACATATCCATGTATTATACATAGGCTATGAGTTGTGCATCACGGCCAAACTTGATCATGAGCAGACAAATTTGAAGCAACCTGCAATATACGATCCCCTTTCCCAGTCTGTCTGTGTATGTTCATCAAGGGAGAAGAAGTATCGCCTTCATTGACTTCGACTTTCCACCCACAGGTCCGGCAGCTGCCCCAGGGTAGTTGAGTACTGCCATGGAGGCATTAGGACTTCATCTCCGGGACTCTGTTAATGTACAGCAGAGTGTTAAGCTTCCAAAACCCCATTCCACAAAGTGATCTTTACTTAGCGCTACGATGATCATAAGCCAATGTTTAAGTATGGGAGTTATGGTCATCTTAGCGCTAAGATGGCTTCGTGGAAT